TCTCTCTCTCTCTCTCTCTCTCTCTCTCTCCCTCTCCACTTGTTGCCGGCGTCTGCGCCGCGGGCGCCGATGTGCTGGAACTCTCGTCTGCCGCCACTTGCGGCTTCAGCAAGGCGCTCCTTGCCGCGTTCAGGCCTCGCGGGCGGTCATGGCTCTCCTAATGGGCCGCGGATGCCATCTGCGTGCTGGGCCATGCGCTCGACCTTGCGGCCGCCGCGCAGCGGGGGGTCATCTGCGCTGTCCGCGGACAAATTAATCGCGGCAGCCGGCTCAGCCGCGTTGTTGACGACCTTCGCCTGGCAGTTCAAACCGGTCGAGGCGGTGGCCCCATCGGCCGACTGTTTCAGGCCCTCGAAGAACAGGTCAACTGGGCCTGGCCTACCAGAGGTCTCATGTACGATGACTGGGGCACTGCCGTCGCGTGGCTCGCCCTTCCGCCCGGCTGTCTAGTAGCCCGCGTGCTCCGAGCGCCCCAAAGGCGGTCCTTCTTGCGTAAGAGTCTGCGCGGCCGCGGGCGGGGCCTGCTCGCGCCAAGCCTACCCGCTGCTCGCGCGGGCAGGCTTCGGGGTCTTCTACGGGGCCGATCACCGCCTCAACTGCTCTGCCAGAATTCCACGGGCTGGCTCAGTCCGCTCAGCGCGCTGATACCCTGGACCTTCTCCACGTGATGTCTACCGCCCGCCGAAAGACCAATCCACGTCTTCGTGGGCAATCAGACGGCCCGCGACACCGTCGGGGACCTGCTCGGCGGTGCCCGGCCCCCAGCCAAGGGCGAGCAAGCGAGCGGATCTCTCAAAGCGGGCGCACCGAGCTGCCCACTTCCGCCGCGACCCCCCCCCAGTTGAAAAAGTCCCCAGTCACCGAGGCGAAGATGGAGTCAGCGCCGGGCTCCTTTCAGCCACCGCTGAACTCTTCAACAGACTAGCAGACGAGGCCGCAGGGGCGGCGGCGCTCCGCGCCGTGCCAGAGGCTCTGGCGACGCTGCCAAGGAACACTTCAGGCTGGCTGTGACCCCCCATGCCGCCGCGGTCGCAATGTCCGACGAGCGTGCCTGCGCGCGCCCCTTGCCCCGTCGACGGGCTGGGTGCACTAAGGCCGAACTCGGGCGAATGGAACCACGCCCGTGGGCGGGCTCAACAGCCGACACCCCAGCTCCCGCGGTTGATGATGGTGCGCAACCGATTTCGGAGGAAGATGCTCACCTGGTGCTTCGCGGCCCTTCGTTGTCGCTCGACGGGCCCCGCGACGCACCTCCTCGGCATCCTGCCCCCATCGCCCCTCATGCTCTCATGGTGGTCATCGGCTGGCGCCGCAGGGGCGATCCCCCCCCCCGTGCCTCTCGAATGCCATCGGCTGGCCGAGCGCCCCGCTCCGGGGGGGTTGGCCCCGACCCTGGAGTGCCGACAGCTGTTCGCGCGCCCGCCAGGTGCGGGGCGCCGCCGGGGCCCGTTGTTTTTCTTCGGGGCCCAACCTTCGAACGTGAACGAATCGGGCAGCGTGCTGGCCATTCCCGCAATATCCGGCATTCGAGATTCCGCTGCTCGGCTCACTCAACGCCAGCCCCGCGAAAACATGAGAAATCGCAGCGGCGCCGGCGCCCAATAACAAATCCGCTGGCCCCTTGGGGCCACGGCGTGTGATGAGATGCTCCCCCCCCCCAAACCCTTCCCCCAGGGGCCTGGTCCGGCCGGTTTGAAGGGGGGGGGGCGTCCGCGCACGTGGGGCCTCAGGAGGCCCCAAATCGGGCCAAAAAGGTCCCAAAGGTTCCCGGAACGGCCCAAGAGAGCTGCGAATCGACGAGAGATCGCCCCCAAACGCCGAGGACTGCCTCCACGCGGCTCCATAAATCACCAAGACGTTTGAAACAATATAACGAGGCGCCCCACAGAGGCCCTCCATAAGCAAAAATCGTCCCACTTATTATGGAAAGCGTGCATTTTCACCACATTCGCCCATTCGGCTTCCACGCGGCGCAATACGGCCCAAGAAACCTCCAATATCGACCCTCGCCAACCCAAGAGGCTTCCGAAAAGGCTCCAAGACGGCGTCTGGGCGATCCACGAAGGCCCCAGAAACCATAGCAACGGCTCAGGAAAGCCGCAGGACGGTCTCAGGAGGGCTCCAAAACGGGGCAAGGGGGCCCCCAAAGTCTGTCTGGACGACCACGAGGCGCTCCAAGCAGGCCTCCAGAAACAAAAACCGTCCTATTCTTTAGGGACAACGTGCATTTTCAGCATATTCGCTTCATGGGCTTCCACGAGGCCTACAACGGCCCAGCAAACCTCCAAAATCGACCTCTGGCCCCCCAAGAGACTGTCCAAAAGGCTCCGCGACGGCCTCGGGGCGCCCCACGAAGGCCCAAGAAACCATAGCAACGGCCCGGGGGAACGGCAGGACGGTCCTAAGAGGGCCCCAGAACGTGTCTAGAGGGGCCCCACAGGCTGTCCGGACAGGCCACGCGGGGGACGATTGCTGCCGCTCCAAGGGGTCGGCGGTGTGGCGTAAACCAATGAATACATGAAAGGCCTCATGGGCCACCGCTGAGGGCGCCCCGCATGCTCTGGCACGCACTGGCGGCGACTTGGCAGGTGAATGGGATCGCGACCAGCGATGACATTACCTGTCTGGTCTGGAAGCGCGATGGCCCTCTGTCGTTTGGATTTATCTCGCTGGGCCTGAGACTGCAAACTTTCACCGGGCGGCAGGCAACAAAATCAGCCTTCGCCGAAACATTCACCAAATGGCGTGAGGGGCCCATCGTGCCTGGGCTGTCGGCATCATGCCGCTTAGACATACTCTTGAATATATCCTTGATGCCATTGCGAACGTGATCCTTCAAGGTGTTGCCCTGGATCGCGCCTTTCGCTGCCATCGCTGGGCAGCAACCGGGCCGACGGGCTGACGTGCGAAACAGGGCGACTGCCAGTCACCCTGAGACCCTGGGCCCAAGCCGGGGGACAACGCAAGTGTTTCGAACTCGGAGCAGCATCATCAGACGCACGAGCACGAGGCACCCCTCGTCATGATATGATCATGCTATGATGGTTCCGGAAGGCAGCCTGGAAACACTGCTTGAGATGATGTCTCGGACGGAGCGCTTGTTTCTAATGTTGACCACCACAATGATCTTGTACATATTATGCCAAGTTTGACCCATGTGAATGCACTGTGTGCAGAAGTGCGGGGGTGATTGGGGGGGAAGGGGGTGGGCGATCATACCCAGGATTCATCAACGATGCTGTAACACACTTTCCCCCCCAAATCCCCTCCCTACAAGCATTCCTGTTGCACTGCGGTGGCTGTCCTCCGTCCTGCTAGGATTACGATGAGACATACGTAGTTCGAAAGCACGCCGACATGTCGATCATATAATAAGCATCGAGCAGCCAAACACACTGGATTGCCGACTCTATGACGGGATAGAACTCAAGGGAAACATTGACAACACAAACCAGACTTATTCTGGCAATCCACCCAGCGGCGCGGGCCGATAAGTCAAGGATCTCGTTTAACATGGGCAGCGGCACCCTCGACTTATGGATTCGTCATAATGACAGCTTTCAGCGCCAGACGGCTTACTTGACTTATTTGTTTTGTCAGGCGGGCGTGTTTGGAAGCATCTTGGGATAACGTATCTGCTTGGACTTGGATCTACGACGTCCCCGCCTCTCCTCGTCCGCCCCCTCCCACTCCTCCTCCTCCTCCTCCTGCTCCGCCTCCTTCTGCATCTCCTCCCCCGACCCCTCCTCCGACCCCTCCTCAGCCTCGTCGTCTGCGTCGTCCTCGCCCTCGTCGGTGGGCGTCGTCCCTTTCCTCGCCGCCCTCCCCGGCCCGGGCCGTTCGGCCGGAGCTCTTTGTAGAATTTCGCGCACTGCGACGGGCTCTCCTCGGCGACGGTTTTGTTCACCATCACCATGGACATCCTGCCGTTTCGTCCCTCCCCTCAAAAGAGGATCGGAAGGAAGAGGATGAGGAAAAGGAGGAGGAGGAGGAGGAGGAGGAGGAGGAGGAAGAGGAGGAAGAGGAGGAGGAGGATGAGGAAGTCGTGGCGGAGGAGCAGGAGAAGGAGAAACAGGAAGAGGAGGAGGAGGAGGAGGAGGAGGAGGAGGAGGAGGAGGGGGAGGAGGAAAAGGAGGGGGAGGAGAAGGGGAAGGGGAGGAGGGCGGATAAGGAGGATGAGCAGGAGGAGCGTGAATGAGGGAGGGGGGCGCAGACCCTCTCCCTCCTCAACTCTCCTACCTCGTCCCTCCTGCTCTTGCTCCCTCCTCCCGTCCCTCCCCCTCCTTTTCCCCTTCCTCCCTCTCTCATCATCCTGACGCCTGCCTCTCGCTCCGCTCTCATTCCCCCATCTTCTACGTCCTCTTACATTATCCTGCCCCTTTCTCCCTGCTCCTCTTCGTCCTCCTCCTCCTCCCTCCTCCTCCTCGTCTTCCTCCTTCCCCCTCTTCGGCTTCCCTTCTTACTCCCCTCCGTCCTCTTCCTGCATCGCCATGGGTGTCCTGTAGTCTTGCACCCAAGATTCGATCACAGTGATGTAGCGTCCGTGCGCCGACTTGAAGGCAACGGTACCTGCAGATAAAGGGCGGGTGGGTGGGTGGGTGTGAAGGTGGGGGCCCCAAGGTTAGGAAGACAAACGCATAGCAGACAACCATGCGCGGCCCCGAGAGAAACGGTAGTCCCATGCGTATAACTGCATTCAACCCATGTCAACCTGAAGCGGGGGCAGCCGACAGTAGCGCAACCTGGCAGTAAAGTGAATGGC